GAAGGCAAGGGAGTATGAAAGGGGAAGCTGGAGAAGAGTCAGTTCTACCACCAAGCTCTCAAGGCCCCTGCTGGACCATCAAGGCCTGGTTCCATGGACCATCTTGGAAACCACCCTGACTCCCGCAAATTCTCTGATCTCTCCTGGGCCAAGAGAAACTGGATCATGGAGAAGAGTGAAGTTTATTTTATTATTGTTTTACAAAACAGGTTCTTGTGTATCCCAGGCTGGCTCCAACTGACCATATAGCACATGACAACCTTGGATTTCTTTCTTTTTTTTTTTTTAGATCTTTTTAATTTATATTTTTATATTAATTACAGTTTATTCACTTTGAACCTTGGATTTCTTTATCCTCTGTCTCCACCCCCAACCTTGCCTCCTGAATGCTGGGGTTACTGGAGTGTGACACCACACCCAGTTTACAGGATGCTGAGGACCAGCCCCAGAGCTCTGAGCAGGCTATAAGCACTAGCAACTGGGCTTCATCCTAGGCCCTAAGGAATAGTGGGTTTAGATTTACTTTATTTTTAATTGTATGCATGTATATGTGTCTCTGAGGGTATGTGCCCATGAAAGCTAGAAAAGGGTGTGAGCTGGGAACCAGACTCAGATCTTCTGCAGGAGCTGTTAGCACTCTACCCATTGAACCATCTCTCCCATCCAGAAGAGTAAAGTTTAAAAAGCATAAGGGCCAGTGTACTGGCACCCTAGATTACATCATGAGTTCCAGGCCAGCCAGCGCTACACAATCAGACCTTTCGGAAGGAAGAGCAGTAGGAAAAAGATAGGAAAGAAGCTCAAAGGGGGGAAAAATCCAACTTTTGCTAAAGACATTTTAAAAACTGTCATATTCTACTCTCTGTTGGCTTATTTCCATCCACACAAGCATCCAGATATTTACACATATACACAACATACAGACCTGCTGTTACTTTCCCTTTATTTTTAAAACTTCTTTCTCTATAAATGGGCTTGAGGACGACTCTAGAAATTGGTGCTGACACTCTCCCCGCATCACAGAGCCTCTCAAAGGAGGCTGGACTTGCTCCCGGAGAGCAGAGTACAGAAAAGCAGCAGGAGGGGCCTTAGAGAAGCAGCCATGAAGCTGCTGCCCTCATCCCAAGTGGGCTGCATCAGTGGGGAGCCCTGTCAGCCTGAGGCATCTCCACATGTAGTGAGAGAGACATTTTGTGCTGTGTTCTCCCATACCCTACTCAGCTCCAAGAGCTGACCAGGACACTCCATACCTGTCAAGGCCACACATGCATATAAACCCCAAAGATGGGGAAGGAATTAGGAATCAGGGAGACACAATGACAAAATGCAAGAATTTCCTGGAAGAGAAAAGACATGTTAGTGAGAAAACTGTCATACTCTAGTTAGAGTTTACATAGTCCACATCATGAACCTGTTAATGTCCTTGATTTGACAAATGTACTAACATTACATAAGATAATGACATCAGGGAAACTGGGTCTAAAATAAAATAAAAAGCTTATAAGAAAAAGAACCAACTATGTGTGTGCTTGTGGTCCTGACTGAGGCTAGAGGCCTGGCAGCTCCCTGGAGAGTCACTGGTGTGAGTCCATGTTGGCGGGCTGGAGTCTGGGGTCCAATGTCCATGGCAAAGCAGCAGCAGTCACACTGGCTCAGGCAGGGTAGAGCCTGGGCTAGCTGACTTTCCTAATTTTACCTGTCGTCTGTCCAGGCCCCAGCCTCTTGGACACCCACAGTCAGGGCATGTCTTTCTTCTCAATTGCTGTTCCATATGCCAGTCACCTCTGAACATGCCCTCAAAGACACAACCAGAAGCGTTCTGCACTAACCCTATGGAAGGCTTAGTGGGTAACACTTGCTGCCAACCCAACTCCCTGTGTTCCATCCCCAGGACCCACAAATATAAGGAGAGAAGTGACTCCCACAGGTTGTGCTCTGATCTCTACTTGTCTGCTACATCATGCACATGACTGTACACACATACCACATATACACATGCTCCCATACATAGACACACACACACACACACACACACAAATTTTGAAGAATTACCTCTCACATTTTCTGTCCAACAGAAACAAAATGTATGTTCAGGTATTTGCCAACAAATGTTCATAATGTCTTTAAACATCCTAGCTAAAAATGGGATCAAGTTAGTGTCTGTAAGTAATGTGCAATCAAACTGTAGCATGTCCACACATGGATCATGGCTTAACATATAAAGGGGACCTCCAGTGACCACATCAGCATGCATACATCTTGGTGACATGCATGGCATAGGAAACAATTTATATGAAATGCTAAGTTGGATGAAAAGCAGATCTGTGCCTGCCTGAAGCAGAAGGACAGTCAAAAAGGGGCATGAGGTGAAATTTTGGGGTTAGTGAAATGTTAGTGATATGGGTTCCACGGATCAACCTGGAATCCAGACTTACACAGCAAATGCCTGAGCCATCTCAGCAGCTCATTTGTTACAACAAATGTTTTAAATACACATAAAAGATACTGTGAAAAGAAAAAATTAGAATTTTGCTGAAATATGTTTTGTAGAATAGTAATGCACAAATCTGTAGTAATTCCAGTAAAGTACTTTTCAGCATTTCCTTAGATCATGGTTTATTTTCAAATTAATCCTTAAATTAATTTAGACATTTTAAAAGGTTGGCTAAGCCAACATAACAGTATCAAGGGGAAAAAAGCATAAACCCCATAAACCCTAACAGAGAGAAAGGATGGAGAGCCTGTTATACACACCTGTTTGAGTGACTTCTCAGAAACTTGGAGGAGTTTCATCCAAGTGTGGGCTGCTTTCTCACTTCCACACATACCTCAGAGTCTTCAGAAAGGCTGGAACAGTTACAGAGGGAATACAGGGAAACACAAGGAAGGCTTCAGTGATCCCTGAAGGGAATCTGCAGCATAAAGGAGGTCTAGACAGTGAATGATATCTATGTGTCTGTTTTGTTATCTGAGTGTCTTACCACATAGCTTGGGTTAGCCTTGAATCCATGAGCTTCTTGTCTCAAAGTCCTGGGTGCTGGGTTTACAGGTAGGTGTCTACTACCACCCTGGGCTGCTTATGAACTGTATGTATGTATGTATGTATGTATGTATGTATGTATGTATGTATGTATGTATGTATGTATTGGTTTTTCAAGACAGGTTTCACTGTGTAGCCCTGGCTGTCCTGGAACGCTGGAGCTCTGTAGACTAGGCTGGCCTATTAAAGCCCTGTGCCACCACTGTTAAACACCATCAACTAAGTCACTTCCTGACTTCCAGGACTTAGATGTATGCCTGCTTCCCACACTTTGGCATCCTACTTTTTTACTTAGCTAACTCAAGTCCTCTGTTAGAAGAAAGATGGAAAAACGACAAATCCACACTGACAAGGATGCCTGGAACCTACAACTGCATTCTGAACAGAAGACAACTACTTCTCCAAATGTAAAAGAGCAGCAGCATGATGGGTCCTAGGAAGAGTCAGAAAAAGACTTTTTATGCTTGGTCTATAAATTCATACTAACAAGGATACCTGTCTTTCACCCCTGTGATGACTGAAAAATGACTGAAAGAGTATACAAATAGCATAAACAACATAAAACCAGGAATCGTTGTAAAGATCCTACACTGCCCCCATCCTGTGTGAAAGTGGAACACCACCTGCTCACTCGAAATTCCCAAAGAATGTGGCGTGAAAGTAAGGCACCCGCTGGGGACCCAAACTCTAGTCCTCATGCTTGCACGACAGGCATTCTACCCAGCATTTTGATTGGCTAATGTTAAGCACCTCTAACTTTAAGCACCTCTAATGCTGTTCTAGCTGAGATCTGGATGACTAAGGTCAGGTCCCTGTGCCTTGGGCTTCAGAGGGACAAACGCTGTCCTAGTTTGCCTTCTGTTGCTGTGATAAACACCAGGACCAAAGCAACTGGGGTAAGGAATGGCTTACTTCCTCTTGCAGGTTACAATCCATAAATGAGGGAAGCCGAGGCAGGAACCTGGAGGCAGGAACTGAGACAGAAGCCACAGAGGAAGGCTGTTTTCTAGCTCAGTCTGATTCACATTCAGCCAGCTTTCTTATTCAGCGGGACCCACAGCTTAAGGTTTATAAGAAAACACCCCACTAAAACTGGAGAGACAGCTCAATAACCATGGCACTCGCTGCTTTTTCTAAGGACTCAGGCTCAATTCCCAGCACCCAGATGGTGGCTCACAACTATCTGTACTCCAGTTCCAGGAAACCCAGTGTGCTCTCCAGGCACCAAGTATGTGCAGTACACTGAGTTACATGCATGTAAAACAATTTCTTAAATGTAAAATGGAGGTGGGTTGGTCCCTCACAGTAGCAGAAGTTTTGTCTTTTTAGCACAATTGGAACCACATGGGGTGTGTAACAATTTCTTGTTGTGCAAGGCTGTCACATGTACTTTGTGACACAGTACATCCATGACCCCTGCCCAACTAAATGCCATCCATTACAAGGTGCAGGTGATCACATGGGCTCCAGTCTTCCCACCACACCAATGAGTTCATTAATGTAGACATGGGAGGTTAATGAGAACACGGTGTTCTGTGTACTGTCTGCTCATATGACAGAGGAAACCGGGCACTTCACACACAAGGAAGACAGTTTCTTCTGCATGTTATACATGATGCATCCCGAACATTCCATCCATACCCCAAAACTAGCCCAAGGATTCAGCCAACCAGAGGGCAGAGCCCAAACCACAGGGACCTAAGCTAACGAACTCAGAAACATCATCCATATGTGTGGGTGGGGAGGGGGAGGATGCCCAGTTGCTGGCGTTCCAGTGACATGAACTAATCGATTTCCTGATTTATGCTGCTTTCAACTTGGACTTTGGTTTCTGCAGCTGAAAAGTACTTCGTTACATGAACAGTTTTCACAGGTCAGAAACCAAGGCTCAAGTTTTGAAAGAACACTTACAGCAGTTAACTTCTTGTTGCTGTGATAAGAGGCCATGACTAAAAGCAACTTCCAGAGAAAAAAAGTTTATTTTGGTTTACAGTTCCCAAGGAGGCATGGCTGCAGGGGGCAAGAGCAGAGATCACATCTTCAAATACAAATGTGAAGCCAGGAAGTGAACTGGAGTGGGTTGAGGCTATGAACTCTCAAAGTTTGCCCCAGATACCAGGGGTTCCCACCTCCTAAACAGTATCACCAGCTGGACACCAAGTGTTCAAATATTTAACCTAAGGAGTACACTTCTCATCAACACAGCAGAACAAAATAACAACAAAAGGAGACTGCTGCTCCTCGATTTAATGGTGTGGGTGTGTGTGTCTGTGTGTAAGCCTGCGGCAGGCAGTTCTGGTAAATGCCCACCTTTCTGTAGGTAGGGCCACACAGCATCAGTCTACACAGTTCCCCCACTGGCATCTATGCCACAAAAGCAAGCATGGTTCACACACCATTCACACATGCAGTTTGTTGGGACATTTAATGTTAAAAGCTACTCAATCTGAAAATAAAGGAGGGCTGGGGAGGAGGCTCAGGGGTACACTGCTTGTCTAGTACAGATAAAACTGGACATGGTAGCACACACCTGTACTTGTGGCACTTGGGAGTTGGAAGCAGAAGGATCAGAAGTTTAAGGTCATCATCAGCTACACAGGGAGTCTGAGGCCAGCCTGAACTACATGACACGTTGTCTCAAAAAAAAAAAAAAAAAAAAAAAAATATATATATATATATATATATATATAGTGATACATAAATAAGTAATACAGTAATACTTCCAGTATTTTTGCACAAAGTTTCTGTAAGATGTACAGTGGGCATAGGGTTATAAAAATAGCCCAAGGCCTTGCTCTCCTGAAGCTTGTATTTATGACTATAGGAACAAAAGGACATAGCAATAGGCCAAAAAATGCAAAACAAATGTACAGTGAGTGATAAAAACTAGAAGGGGCATCTGAGGCAACTGTGGACTGTTTTCTTATCATGCTATGGGTTCAGCTTGAGCAACACAGTTACAGCAAATAGAGATGTGTAAAGAGATGTATACTGTAGTAAATGCAAGAGCATTTGCAAGAATGCAAGAGCAGGAGAGAGACACTGAGTGATGCCCTGCTGAGAAGGCAGTAGGCCAGGCTCTAAATAAACAGGGTACCATGGCCAGATGCAGCACAAGAAGTGAGGAGAGGAAAGAGCAGACAGGCGTGGGACACAGCCTCCACCTAGACCCTGCTCTCACTGCACACCAGTGACCTTGGCCTGGGTGGGCTACTGATCCCTGCATCAGCCTTCTCATCTTCTGAGATGGGGACAGGCGGTACCCGAGAACACAGGTATAATGAGATGAGGCATGCTAAGTGACCTAACTGGGAGATGCTGAATCATGACAGTTCCCACCACACTTAAATCCATATGCAATGATCACTGATTAGTTCTGTAGCATTTGTAAGCCAAACAAATAAAAGTCTCTAACTATATTAGGGCTTAAAGCACTTGGCTTTTAAAATAGCTAACTGCAAATCCATTACAAAATCCTAAGAAAGAAAATGGCTGGTGACTAAGGATTTCCAAATGCATTTATTGGTAGCATATTACTGAATGAATAATGCAGAGCACACAATTCCAAGAAACCAGCACTGGGCAGAAAGCAGGGATCTTAGATGGAACATATTTATATATTACATATATTGAGACTTAGAGAGGGAAAACTAATCCAAAGCTCTCATTCTGATCATAATTTAAACTTAGCTCTCATTCTGATCATACTTTAAACTTGAATTTTAGTGTTCTCCATGCAAAAAGCAAAAGCCTGCTTCCCCCTTTCATTCCACCAAGCATGATTAATTAAAAGCAAGATACTGCAAGCTGAATCTGAAGCAGCCAGTCAGGGGCTGTAAAGAGTCCCTTCAGGCAGGTAAAGCCGCATGAATGAAAAAAGTGTCCGTACCTGGTCCCTGAATGCAGAGGAGAAAATACCAGTAAGCAAGAGGCTCACAGAACAGACCCCTCCACTCAAACACTCAGCTAGGTTACAGCAAACAAAACCGTTAGCTCTTCACTGCAGCCTTCAGATTTTACTGAATAAACAATTAGGAAGCCTCCATTCTCTATAATAACATTAAAAAATGTGTTTCTATATTGCAGAACCAAAGAGGGTTTTCAAATACACTGCCGGGAGCTGCTTGGGGTCCAGAGTCCTATTTACATCATGCACCCACACACAGCAACTGACGCCATGACAGCAGCAAGATATTGTCCAGGGCTCTTAATTCAGAAACACTCCTCCACTCCCACAGCTGGACACCTGCTGACCAGACGGTGTTTGTCAGAGCCCCAAGCAGAGGTCTTAAAATAGGTCAACTGTGATGAAGTGCAACACACAGCTGGCTTAAGAACTAACTCATCTGTCCTGGCAGCACTGCAGAACTACGTGACAGTGGAGGAGAGAGAGGGTTCTTTTCTCTAGTGACCACTTGCTACAAAGAGTTTCCTGCTGTTTTTCTCAACAGGACATCTCAAAGAGACTGAAGAGTGAGCTGAACTCTACAAGCTGATTTTCACAGACACAGAACAAGACAATCCATGTTAAAGAAAAGACTTGCTAATTTTCAAAACCTGTCTACTGTCTGACTAGCTTGAAAATACACTTTTAAAGTCAAATTCCTATTGTGAAAAAAAAAAAATCAAAATTTAAGTCAGAAGTTTTCACTCTCTCCTTTCGCTAGGAAAGTAAACAAAAACAGAACTGGGCTATTGCAAAAACAAACAAAACAAACTAACAACAACAACAACAAATGGTCACTGCTCCTCCACCAGAGTCAGGTCCCTTCTGTGAGGCCTCCCAAATCTCTGCCTTGAGTGTCCACTCTGGTCATTACCACACTTTAATCACACAAGCCTGGGGATATCTTCTTTAGACACAGGCTATGTCAGAGGTAGTGTTAGGATGCAGTATAACCAGCTACAGGAAAAAGTTTAATGGAAAACACCATTCTTCTGAGTCATGGTAAGTAAAAATCCAAAACAAAAACCAGACAGCTCTCATTGCCTTGTACTAAGAAATGATCTAAGAACTGAAAACCCATATGGACAGGCCCTATCATTATCTCTGGAAGCCTCAGTGCACCAGCTCAGGCTGGTTGTCCATGAAGGGCAGCACCCCACTCACATAGTAGGCAATGCCCAGAGACAGCAAAGCAATGACCAAGATCAAGAGCAAGACCCTCCAGAAACCTAGGTCCTCCACAAACTCCTGCCATGTAGTTCGGAAGCTGGACAGGACTCCTTCGCCTTGCTGGAGGTTGGGATTGAGCAAAGAATGGCTTTCCATGGCACTGTGGGAAGAGGAAAGAAAAGAAAGGGTCATCAAAACACACTTCAGCCATAAGGCACAACACAAGACAAGCAGTTATACTACAAGGCCAGCCTTTCAATGCAATACTGGAGAGCTACTACAGAGATGCACTGGCCTAGGAATGTGCTGGTTACACACTCCTGGGAATCTACACATCTGTCTGAAACTGTAAATGGTTAGATCCCTGGTTTAGCATCCAGCAGGCAAATTAAAAGTCATAATCAGAAAATCCCAACGGGAGTCTGGGGGAAGTGGAAGGGTAGAGCTGGGGATGAACATGATCAAAGTACATTGTACACATGGATAAAATTGTCAAAAATAAATTAAAAACATTTTTTAAAGGAGCCCCAAGCAGAGGTCTTAAAATAGGCCTTGTCTCCATCACAACAGCATTAACCAAACATATTTTGTTTTACATTTAGAAGATTCAAACAGAGGGACTGGAGATGGCTTTTGCTAAGTTCCCATCACCTACATTGCACCTTACAACAGTCTGTAACTCCAGTTTCAGGGGATCCAAAATACCCTCTTCTGACCAGCCTCACACAGACATTGTATGTAAGGAAAAACATTCAAACATATAAAATAAAATTTTTAAATCTTTTTAAAATGTTCAAAATGAAACTTTGTAATTTGAGATTTCGTGTTCATAAAAATAACAAAAAAATCAATAAATTTAAAAATCCACTTCAATGCAGTACATGGATGTGAAGGCTGAAAGGGAATTTCTCTCTTAATTTGGTGCAGTCATGTGCCCAGTTAAGAGGTCTCTAAATAAAACCTAGTCACAGAAGCTTAGTCCTCAGCGTGCAGTGCATGTGGCTGGCTTTAGGGATTCTTTAATTTTTCTCTGTGCATTTCCATGTATGCATACATACATACACGTGATACCATATGAAGGTCAGAAGGCAATTTTTGAAATAACAAAAGCAAGGGGTTGGAGAAATGGCTCAGTGGTTAAAAGCATTGACTGCTTTTCCAGAAGACCTAGGTTTAATTCCCAGCACTCATATAGCAGATCACAAGTGTCTGTAACTTCCGTTTCAGGGGATGTGATGCCCACTTCTGGCCTCTGTCAGCACTGCACACGTGATACATACATAAACATACAAGCATACAAAACGTCCAAACACATAAAATATTTTTAAAGGAATAAAACTGAACTTAGAATAATATGCAGGGATGGGGAGCTATTTTTCATCAACTTGGTTGTTAAATCCTACTACACAAGTTATCTCATGTCTCACAGAACCCAATGGGAAATATAGTAAATACACTGCTTTCAAGGTGGTCATAGTTAAGCTATAATACCACTTCCCCTTGTCCATTTATATTTTCCTTCTACTCAGTTTATTGCTATGATTTATGCTAAAAATTTCATCTTTATTTGTCACTGTGTAGCCCTGGATGGCCTAAAACTCACAGAGATCCTCCTGCCTCTGCCTCCCAGTGCTGAAATTAGAGACCTGTGCCCAACTGGCTAAAATTCATCTTTTAAACTATAGAACTTAGTGGGTTTAGGGCTTTCAAAGATATTAACCATTTCTACTATCTAATTCCCAATACTTCATCAATCATTGTCTCAAACGCTGTATCATTGTCCCCCCCATACCCTAGTAATCACTAACCTACTTTTTTTTCCTATAAATTTCCCTATTTGGTCATTTTATACCAACAGAATAAATAGTATGTGGCCTTTTATGCTTGGCTTTTCCCATACAGCATTTTTTCAGTATTTATGCTGGCTGTAGAATCTATCATTACTTTGTTCATTTTTATGGCAGGGTAATAGACATTTGGTATATACCTAGAAGTTAAACTGCTGGGTCACATAGTAACTCTGTATAACTTTTGATAAGACATCAGAATAGTTTCCAAAGTGGCCCCACTAGTCTATGCTGTCTTGAGGAGTCTATATTCCCTACAACCTCCATAATACTAGTGACAGCCTATCTGCCTGGTTACAGCTGTCCTCAGAGTTAAGTACTATTCCACTGTGGGTTTGATTTGTATTTTTCTTTTCTTTCTTCCTTTTTGGTTTGTTTGTTTGTTTGTTTGTTTGTTTTTCGAGACAGGGTTGTTCTATGTGGCCTTGGCTGTCCTGAATTCGCTTTGCAGACCTGGCTGGCCTGGAACTCACAGCAATCCACCTGCCTCTGTCTTTCTAAATGCTGGGATTACAGGCGTATGCCACCATGCCCAGTTTGGTTTGTATTTTTCTGGGCTTTCTTGAAGGGATGTATTCATTTCCTTGAGATATTTATTTATTTATTTATTTATAATTTATACAGTATTCTGCCTGTGTTCCAGTAGGCCAGTAGATGGCACCAGATCTCATTATAGATGGTTCTGATCCATAATGTGGTTGCTGGGAATTGAACTCAAGACCTTTGGAAGAACAGCCAGTATTCTTAACCTCTGAGCCATCTCTCCAGCCCCCTTGATTTGTATTTTTATGACACTGTTTTTAAACATTATATTGTTTATTTTCGTACTTTTATAATGCTTTTTTTTGTTTTGTTTTTTTAAAACAGGGTTTTTTGTATAGCTTGGTTGTCCTGGACTCGCTTTAGACCAGGCTGGCCTTGAACTCACAGAGATATGCCTGCCTCTGCCCCCCGAGCACTGGCATATAATGCTGTTTTTTAATGGAATTTAATCTTACCTACTGTGGCATTGAGGGCAGGAATAAGGAGAACCAAGTAACAACAGTGTTAATCATTCACGCTGACACACTTTAGTGTTCACAGAGCTGTAACTAACACAAATGTCACACATTTGTAGAGCAGGAGTTCACATTGCTACCAAGCTGCCCAAACAATTACTCATGACCTAGCTAATTAGTCATTATGACAGCTCAAACAACTAATTGTGATTTAGTTAATTAGTCATTATAATGGGCAAAATAAAGTTCAAGGGCATTTCTGATAAAGTCCTACTAGCCAGTATCAAAATGAGATCTCCAAAGTGCATCAAGAGAAACATGCATTCATGGACATTTTCTCAGTAAAGAAGGTTGGGAGAAATGGCACAAGTTATGAGCACTTGTGTACAGTCTTAAGGACTGGAACTTAAGCCCCTGCAGCCACTTAAGAGATCAGGTATCCCACATATGCCTGTAATCCCAGCTCTAAGGGAGCAGAAGAAGTAGAAAAACTACAAGCCCTGGGTTCAGGAGAAACTTGCCTCGAAAGAAGGAGCAGACAGTGATTGATTAACACCTGAAACCCAACCCTCTTCTGGCCTCTCACTAGTACACAGATGTGTACATGAGCATATGCAAATGCACTCACAGACAGACACAAGTACATCTTTTAAAAGAAGCTTAAAGTAGTCTGTTATGTTATAAAAAGATAAAAATAAGTTTCACGTTTTGCAGAGATAAAGAGTTAAGCACTGTTAAACCAATGGCATTTGAACTCTAAATTTCTGAGCAGTGAAGGAAAGGCCTGTGAGTGTCTCTGGCTTCCTATTACTTTGCCAATTTGTCAGCTTCTGGAAAACTCAGCAGCTTCACCAGTTCACAGTAAAAACTCTTACCTCCTTTAGAACAGTAGTAAGAGCTTGTAACTAACAAAGCAGAACTAAGTGAGAGTGTGGAGCCTGAAGCCAGCATAGGAGGAGGAGGTGCCATGGCCTCGAAGGTATCAGACAGAGATACCTTCTGTCTGAAGGGCTGACCTCAGTGACCCACATGAGGGACATGGGAAACCAGTTACCAGACCACAGCTGTGCTCCCACTGAAAATCTGGAGTGAGACAGCTGACTCACTGAGTATTTCAAGCTGAATACCAAGCAGCCCACCAGACTCCATTATGTCACTGAAACCTAGGTCAGGCCTATTGGCTTTGCCTGTCAAACCATCAGGGCAAAGGGCAGAGCACTCTGCAGACTTTCAGGCTGAATGACCTGTGCTTCCCACTGCAGCTAGATGAAAGCATCTGTTTCGATCTGCTACTGAGTGGAGCCTCTCAAGGAACAGCCAGGCCACAGGGGAAAAGAATGTGCTCAGTCATGATGGGGCTTGATGTGCTGGCGGGGGGAGGCTCCCCTTTTCCAAGGAGTAGGAGAGGGGGGATAGAGGAAAGAAGGAGGGAGGGTAGGACAGGGAAGAAAGGAGGGAGGGGGCTAAAATTGGGATGTAACATGAATGAATAAATACATTTATTAAAAATTAAAACTTGGAGGTTCCTTCCTCAGACTACTTTGAACTGTCTTGTCTCCTACCCATCCACTAAGGCACATCTAGCAACACTGTGAGCATGTCGTCACTGGGCACTTCTGTAAAGTTCTGCAACTGTAACCTGAAGCCACAGCACATGTGAAGTTCAGAGAGCAGCACAGCCCTGCACTGACAGCAAAGTGGCCAAATGCAAAGCGTTGCTCAAGGACTGTGCCTTAGACAGCTGCATCCTCAGTACCTTTCGCTCTCCGCTGTCTGCATGGCCTCCAGCTTCGAGTGAGTGCCTCTGTTAAATCCTTTTACCTCCTGTTCTTCCAAAGACTCCAGCAATCGGATAACATCTTTATTCACGCCCCGGCGCTTTGCCAGAACTAAAGGGGTAGCACCTTGATGATTGCTGAAAAAGGTTACAGAAGGAAAGGGTCATTGCTGCACTACCGTGAGGAAAGTGTAGACCAAAAAAGGTCTGCAAGTCAGACCCAGGGCAGCGCCACTCACGCCAGAAACTGACATTTGAATTAACTGGATTTTCCTTCCAGGGAAGAAGAAAAAAGAACATTTAGGAAAAAGAACAGATGACAGGAAATATACGATAAAAGAGAACATCTAGGAATGAACTAGAAAGTTTAGTCCTAGAGTCCCAGACTCAGTCTTTGTACACACTGTAAATATATTCATGTATGTGTACGCACACATATCTCTAGATGCAATCTTTGCACACAGTTAGTACATTCATGTATATGTACACACATGTATGTGTACATACACACATATCTAGACTCAATCTCTGTATACACTGTACCTATATATTCATGTACACAAACACACATGCATGTGTACACACACATATATCTCTAGAATCAGTCTTTGTATATACTATACATATTTGTTCATGTATACATACCCACACACATATATTTATGCAGGTATATATAAGAAGTCTAAGAATAAAAAGCAGCCTTGAGCACTGAGCCATCTTACACTAGCTAAGGAAGGACAGAGCAGATTTCAAATCATGCCAATTCCACTGTCGGTTTCTGCTCCATTCTGTCCTGCCATCACAGAGACATTTGCTGCCATGCTATTATACAAGCAGCCATAGCCCTGGATACTAGGACAGCAAGAACTTGCTGCTTAAAGTTCAAGCTCAGCTTTGAGGTGATCTGGTCTTCCCCCACAAGAGATCAAGTAGTAATGGGCCAAACAAAACAAACCCCCCCTGGTGTCCTCCAGCTGTTCAGCCTGAAGAGGACTCAAGCCCCAGATCTATGATGAGGCTACTATGTTACTGTACAGAAGACAGATGAGCTCTGTGCAGGAACTAGGTTCAAATTCCAGCCCTGTCCTTTATAAGCTGTATGGCTTCTTGACTTTGTAAGATGAGAAAAAGGAGAGTTGGAATGCAGAGGTGAGGGAATAATGTTCAACATACAAATACTTGCATGGGAAAAATCTAAAAAATGAAGAGACTAGAGTGAGAGCCACTTACTATGAGTTTAGAACAAGTTGATAAAACAGTCCTCTTCCTTTTTTTGTTGAATTACACTTCATAATTAACGGAAACCAGCTGCTATTATATACACAGCCAGCCAGCTCAGGGTCTGGCCCTTGCATTCCCACACTACCCTACTAAGGGCTTAGGCTTTGATACCTTTGTCTTTACAATGGATCAGGTAGTGATCAGCCCTCGACCTGTACAACTAATGGGAAGAAATGACCTAGCTTCAGTGGTACAAAGAACTCACCAAATATCAATTTTGAGTCCGTTGGAAACTAAGAACTGGATAGTGTCCACATGGCCACACAGGTGGAGGGCCGTGTTCCCCTGATAATCTGTGGCCAATGGGTCAGCACCAAACTTATGAAGCAGCTGGCAGATGTCTACGTTCCCTCGGGCCGCAGCAAGGTGGAGGCCTGTTCTGCCCCTGCTGTCTCGGATATTTGGGTCAAAGCCACTTTCCAAAAGCCGCTTGGAATAGGTGAAGTCCCCATCGATGCAGGCTTGAAGCAAGGGCACATTAGTCTGTGAAGAATCATTCACAAAAACGTAGGACATTATCTGTGGCGGATGGACACTCCTGCAATGAGAGCCAAGGTGAATGACAGCTGGTAATGACAAGGGCAACCAGTCAGAGGAACAGTAGTATCATCTAGGCCTCTTTCTTGTAATAAATGTCCTCACCAAACAAACAATAGTCACAAAATTATCATTTATGTTTTATTTCCACTAAAATTTTTATTTTTCTTATATCTGCTGGATCAAAATAGTAATTAATTACTGTAAAGCTCTCTTACTTTTTTATCATAAAAAGGTTGAAATATTTTTAAAGTTAAGGATAATCACTTATATTTAAGTTCTTTACATTATCAGAAAATACATGTGAACTTACATTCACTTCTTATATGAGATGCTCTATAAAATAAACAGACATACCTATGGGAAAAGCCCACTGATCCAATCATTGCATTTCAGGCACAAAATTTAAGACTTCACTTTAAAAAGTTAAAGGCCAAATTAGCAGCTGTGCCCACAGCACCTCCCACATCCCAACTCCACCTGGAAGACAGGTACACAGTAGGTAGCTCTAGCACCAAATCCCATTAGTGTTCCAGAAAGACTGCACCTGAAAAACTACAAGGGGAGCCTGGAACTGCACTGCATCAGCCACAGCCCATTCATCTTCACAAGGCCCCCCCAAAAAAGTAAAGTCTCTCAAGAGGAACTTCAGAAATCAGAAAGGCAGAGACCAGGGCATTTATAGAACTTTTCTGTAAAACTCTTTTTAAAAACTCAAACATTCATTACTTATCTATTATGCACACATGTCTATGCACTGTGAGTATGCACGCCATGGTGCATGTGTGAAGGTTGGAGTACAACCTGTGGAGCTGGCTCCTGCCTTCCATCATGTTGGTCCCAAGCACCAAATTCAGGTCATCTAGCTTGGCTGCAAACCCCTTGATCTTCTGAATCATCTTTCCAGACAGGCTCAGCTTGCACAGTTTCTCAGGTGAAGTCTTTCTGGACACTAATGGAACTGGGTACTAAGCCAATCCTCTGTGGCTCCCCTCTCCCCACCAGGGCCCAGGCGCTCAGGCCACAGGTGTTGAGTCTGGCCACAGGTGTTAAGTTCAGCCTCTCCGTTCAGTTCTCCAGCCTGGACTGCCTGCTGTAGAGTTCTGCTACTGCCCTTGGCTCTCAAGTGGGAATCAGCCCACACATAACGAGGACCTGTTCTGAGCAGGCATCAACTTCAAGTTTTTACTGAATGTCATGAAGCCCTAGCAACTCACAGTAAGTTTTACTATCCTTGAATTTCCATGAGCGCCCCTACAGACTTCAGGCCAAGGAGATTGCATGGCCTTACTGGTCTTTCAAACAGATGAGCTAGAATGTGAAGGGTTAGACAGGAAAGACTAGAGACAAGCAATCCATCAGTAGGTCAGCTGACAGGAAATGATGGAATCTTGACCCAAAACAGTGACAGAGGAAAGGAACTTCTGGAGAGGGACACAGAACATGACCGAGGTTGAGCAGCAGCTGGTAAGAACACCTCTGGAAAGAGGTCAAGATAAAAACACTTCTGATCATAACACAGCATTACAGGTTGGTCTGAGGCAGAGCAGGGTCTCATGACATCTGGAGCTAAGGCTACCATACCCTTCTGGCCTTAGCCATCACAGCTGGCTTGAAACAATAAATTATTTTATTTATTGGTTTGTTTGGTTGGCTGGTTTTGGTTTTTTTGGAGACAGGGTTTCTCTGTGTAGCCCTAGCTGTCCTGGACTTTCTTTGTAGATTAGGCTGGCCTCGAAATCACAGAGCTCCACCTGCTTCTGCCTCCCAGGGTGCTGGGATTAAAGGCATATTCCACCAAACCCAGCTGAAATGACAAACTCTTAAAAATTAATCCCTTTGCTGGGGGTTGGAGAGTTGGCTCAGCAGTTAAGAGCACTGGATGCTCTTCCAGGGGACCTAAGTTCAATTCCCATCACCCACCTGGTGGCTCACAACTATCTGTAACTCCAGTGCCAGTGGATCCAACATTCATACAGATAGAAATGCAAGCAAAACACCAAAGAATAAATAAACCCTTTAAAAAAAAAAGGCACTTATTGCTCTTCTTACAGAAGACCGAGGTTCAGTTCCTGACACACACATGGTGGTTTGCAGCCATTCATAACACTAGTTTGCAGGGGAGACAATGCCCTTTTCTGACCTCTGTAGGCATCAGGAACATACTTGGTGCACAGACAAACATATAAGAAAAACACTCATATACTTAAAATAAATCTAGAAAAATATTTTTAAAAAGTTAAAAGGGCATAGTTTCCAAATAACAGTTATCGTCTCATCTATTAAAAGAATAATTCCATCTTAAGAATTTATTAATAAAACAGCTAACAGTTCCTCTTAATTTCCCCCTGTACTAGTCACTGGACTGGAACACTCAAAAAACCAAACACCTAACACAGACTATTTTGGAAACAAAAGAGCACAAACCAAGTATTTTCTAAGAGCTAAGACATGTTGGCTACATTGTAAGAAATGATTCTAAAAACCTATCTACTTGGTGTTTTGGCTCAGGTCTTTGGGCTAGCAGGCTGGGATTCCTTTGGAGCAGCATAGGCTGGGTAAGACTCAGCCCCTTCTGTCTGCTCTGGGGTGAGAAGTGAAGCTGGTCTTTTCTCTCTCCTGGAGAAACTGCTCACCTCAGTCCCACAATTAAGATTCTCACAGGAAGACAGCACTTTCCCTTGGACAGGGAAGTGCACCTGCCCTCCTGCAGGCCACAGCTCACTGGAGGCTCACATGCCATTAAGGCTCCACAGCAGAACACATCTAAGGTACAAGATGAGATTGTTCCTTTAGCACCACCCACAGCTCTATATGAATTCCTAACAACGCTGAGCGGAAAAAAAAAAAAAAAAAAAGACAAGGAATTTGACTTAGATCCAGGATACAGCATGAGAAAGAACGAACTGTTCTGTGGCACACAAGCAGGTTAGGGGCCTGTGCACATTCTCCAGAATACCTGAGGTCAAGCACAATCTGCCAGGCCACACAAGTGACTGCCAGGCACTCAAGTGGTGAGAAAAAGTCGTGGAGGGCCGTGACATGAAGTGTGACCAGAAAGCATAGACAGGAGTCAGCGGTGTGTCACCAGCTCTGGAAATCACTCTCAGCCTCTGGAACTCTGAATGCATATTCTCCACAATGTAAATGAAGGCTAACTTCTAACTTTGACTAATTAATTTCTGCAGGGCCACAGAATTTGAACCCAGGGTCTTGCACAAACTAGTCAAAGATCAATCACTGAGCTACATTACATCCTTAGCTCCACAAAAGCAATCTTAGAAAGGAAATACTATTCATAAGAGGGGAAAAGGTAAACAAACAGCCAAAGCTTATAGTTCAACCAAACAGAATAGATTCGGTTCAGTATCGAATCTTTGTCCTTTCTCATCCTCCTGCACTGACATGTGTAGCCCACCCTCAGGATTCCCGTAGGCCCATTTAGTGGTGCCTCTGTGTACCAGTGTACTCTGTCTAATCATTCAATTCTTATGAAGCACTGAAGAAGCAGGGTGCTGGGCAGCCAGACTGGATCACAGAAGTGCAGCATCAATCATGAAACATTCACTATGTCTGAAATGCGTTTTGTTAGCTGGTTGCACATGAAATCCAAATCCCAAAGTCACTATGAGTGTAAAACCTGGTCATGCATGCTGCTATCCAACATCATTAAATAAATGTACACAGAGGAACCATTAATGGCATCTGGTAAGGCTTCATTTACAATTCGCATAACAGAATGTCACATGGGAGCTGTCAGTGCTGGACTGGAGCTAGGGACGATGGCTCTCAAGTTAGATGTGAAGATAATACACAGTACCCTCTATTGATTCTAGTTTTCTGGGTTCCATATTGATTTGGACAAACTTCTTGTCATTGAACCACTTAATTGGATTTTCTTGGACAACTATTCTAAGTACCATCCATCTCTCACCCTGAGTGGCAAAGTGGAAGTATCACTTGTCGCCTCTCTCTAGCACAGACTTGGCTTTAGTTTCCAGCATGTAAAGATGTGAGGGCAAACTGGTAAGTGAGCTTCTGTTGTGGAAGAAGCCCATTGTACCTCTCATGCGGAGGTACAACGACAAACCACATAGTTACCCTCACATACTGTCCTCTATAGCCTACAAGAAAAGCCAGGCTTCTGCCATTTCAACAGGACAGCACCTGGTGATCAAGCACGGTTGTCAAAGTTATAGATCAGATCTAAGTATTTAATGTTATATAAACACATCAGTCAGAATTAGTAGAAAACAGCTACCCCAACAACTCAATTTATACTTCAATCACTAGAAATTTATTCATACCCTTCCCAAAGTGAACAAAACCAGAACACATGTTAACTGCTGCACAAGGTGTTACAACTAAAGATCTTCCCAATTAAATTTATTTGGAGACAACTGCAGACCCACCTGTAAGATAACAAAAGAGGCCCTATTTCCCCTTTCCTCAGTTTCCCCTGATGGCAACACCTTACAAATCCATAGTAGGACATCATAGCTTTGGATATGTACACAGCCCCTTTTCACTGTATTGTTCCTTATTATGGACAGACCATTGCTTGTTGAATAGCTTACTATTGAAGGACACTTGGTTTTACAGGAATTTAGCAATTACATTACAGATTTTTCTTTTAAGTATTACTTATTTATGTTTGGTAGTGTAATACCATGGTCTGCATGAGGAAACCAGAGGAATAACTTGTGGGGGTCTGCTATCTTCTTCTACCAGGGATCTAACTTAGCTATCAGGCTTGGCAGCAAGCCCCTTGAAGCCATGAAGCCATGCACACACTGAAGCTTTCACAAGAACTTGTAAAGGCTATGTGAAGCTGGGTCCTCTTTTTTTTAAGGACAAATGGATAGGAATGTAACTGCTGGGTCAAATGGTGTCATCTTTCCATGCAAAGAAAGTCCACAACAAAGTCATCTTTGGAGTCATTTTTCTGAGGGTCAAGCTATTTACAGAAGTCTCTGTAGAAACAAGCATTTGGAAGGACAA